AGGGTCACCAGCAGGAGTGAATTCAATGACAGTGAATTTAGTTGTTTTTTTTGGGGGGGGGGGTCTGCAACCAGCTGGAAACATGCTATGGGGCAAATGGTAAATGTGCTTGGCTGCCAACTAAAAAAGTAGAAGACTTGAGCCTCCCCAGAGGCCTGTCAGATGAAGACGCCCGGTGTTTTAGAAGTATCTAGAAGAGTAGCCACTGAACTCCAGGGAGGACAGGCAGCGCTCCTCAGCCGCAGCTGGGAGTCCAGTTCTGTCCTGCTGCACACGGGCCACCAGGAGTTGGATTCAACTCAATGGCAGCTTGCTGTTGTTGATCCGCGCACCTTTCTCCTCCACGCCGTCTTTGGGCCACAGGCAGATGGAAGTTAACATTTTTATGAAGAAACACTTTATTCATTTCAGGAAGTCACTGAGAGAGAGGCAGGGGCGTGGTGGCGCAGGGGTGAAGCGCCTGGCTGCACCCCCACCAGAAGGTGAGCCGTGGAACCTCAAAGACAAAAGGGGATGCCGGAGTGTGTGTCTGCGGTGTCGGGGCGGGGCTAGCTGGGGCACAGACGTGTGTTCCTTATGTCACTGTGTGCTTACCCACAGACGATTTTTTTCAAACGATAGCCCCCCCCCCATTTGAAATAGCTCTTTGACATTTTACGATCAAAGAGAGTAGTTAAAAATAGCTAAAACGTCCTTTTTTTCCCCCATATATAATTTTAGGTGGTGGGTTTCGGTTTTTATTTTTAATAAAACGTGACTAAATAAACCAATTGGTAAATTTGTTTTTTAGCCAGGAAATTCACAGTGGTAGTTTTCACTAGCTTTTCAGGGCTGGTGTTTTGGTTTCTTTCTTCTTTTTCTTCAACTCCATAGGAATCTTGAATGAAGTTAGAAGAAACCGTTCAGCATTTGACTATCATCTCTGATCTGACAGACTTTCCAGACGTACATATTCCGAGATACCAAAGTGTGGGCACAAACACCTTGCCAGCCAACCCAAGAACATCCTCACTGACGCGTGTTAGCTCAAGTGTTGTCTACTCCGGAGAGCCTGCACGACCTCCCTCAGACTCACTCTTCTTGTCCTGGTGGCCCAGCGGGTGAGGGGTCAGCTCTGAGCTGGTCGAGCCCCTCGAGAGCGACGTGGCAGCCCAAGTGTCAAGATGGATGACCGCACGAGAAACTCTAGGGGGACAGTTCTACAGTCACTCTGAATCGAATCCACTGGAATGGGCTTGGTTTGTCCCTTTGACTGTCAGAGTACCTGAAGGCATCTCCTTCCGAGCAGCTAACCCACTGAAATTCCCCACCAGTCTGCCTGCCCTTTCTTCATCTGTGAACTCCCCCAGGGCGATGCAGAGTCTCCAGTTTAAGCACACACCTCCAACTGCTACCTCCCTTACTTCTGGACCCCAGGGGAGTCCTCAGCGAATATGGGCAGAGGGAATAAGGACCCGCCTGGTGTTGATGACGCTGGCCTTCCGGAAGGTAGCAACCTCATTCTTTGAGGCCCGGGCTCCCAGCATGCTCTCAGTGACATGTTAGTTAAAAAAAATAAAATGGCCAGGGATGAATTTGGCTTTCTCTCCCCAAGACCCCACGGCTGGGGAAGCATCCCCTAGACGGGAAGTGGCTTTTATGGATCCCGTTTCCAATCAGCCTGAGGCTGCTTGCACAGCCTTGACTCTGGGCCAGCGCTCACGTCCGCTTACACCTGCCCCGACCAGAGTGCAGAAGTGGAAAGACAAGGGAGCGTGTGGACCCACCATGGGCCACATGCCAAGTTCGACGTTGGGCTTTCTGAAGCAACTGCCAAGTCATTTCCCACCGAGAAACGAACGAGCTCCATGAAAAACCTTCATTTTCTATGGTGTGTAAGCGCAAGTATTGCGAGGGCCCGTCCTTTTTACCCTTCGCGGAGATGCATCTTTTCCTGACCCTTCAGGGCATGACAACAATTCCTACTACAGCTCTCCTGCACAGGAGCTACATCCATGCAAGTCGAGCCCAAAGAGCTAACTGAATTAAGAACTTTCAAGACACAAAGATGGTGTTAAGTTTCACCGTGTCCTTGAGAGGGGTAAACCCTGTGCGGGGAGGGGAAATCGCTGCACTTCGAAAACAAGGTCTCTTCTCGGCCCAGGCGCTTGGTGAAATGAGGAACTGAGGCCAAGACCCGGGCTAGCGAACGCACTGCCCCTTCCTCTTTACCAAGAGCAGAATCGGGGCTGATAACGGCTATGGGAGAGGTTACACCGCACGCTTTGTGGATGGATTCTAAGAACGTAGTTGACCTACTCCAACGAATAGCTCCTCTTCAGCGTGTTTCTAAGACGAAGTCCGAGCTTGTGGGGCGGTGTGTGGTCTGGCAGATAGAGAACCAGCCCAGCCCCTCAATGGAGAACAAGACGCCCCCCTGCCACCCCTCCATCCGAGAGGCAATGCTCCTGAGGACCTGCGGATGTGAACGTTTGCAACACATCCTAAGGTACAAAGAGCCTCTGGCTAGTTTTTCTACATCTAAAACACCGTCCTTACTCGGGCGTGCACAGCCACGTGGGGCACACACAGAGACGTGCGTCATCAAGGGCACCGAGTCGCCTATCCAACTCCAGGCACAGGGGCACACGCCGACAGTCTTTCAATAGAGCTCAGCAGCCCATTGTCAAGATCCGGTGTAAACAGAGGAAGGGAGCAGATCGACGGAGGTTGGTCCTCAGAAGGCGGCATGTCTCAGGCTCTGCCCGTGCACCCCCAGTTAGACTTGTGGTCACGCTGCGGATTGGATGAAGAAAAGCTCAGCATTCTATTTCCCGCCCCTTTTTACAGACGAATGAGGAGGATTTACGGAGCAGATCACCGTTTTCCGAGGAATCATCACAAACCTGCCGATGCCCCTCATCCACGGCAACTCCGCCCCCCGCCCACGTGCCAGCCTTCATCCCACTTCCTGTTTCCATCCCTCCGGCTCTCCTCATCCTCTGGACGCTGGCCGTGGGTAAATGCTGTCCTGTTGACCTTAAAACAGTTGGCTACTCTAAAATGGGGGTGGCTTCATTTCCAGACCTCAAGGCTGACCAAGGAACATAGTCTTGGAGGCGGGGTTCCCCACAGCCTCTGTGCAACCAGCCAAGTCTGGTCGAAACAGGACAACATTCTTAACGCAACAAAGGAGACTGCGCGTGCTGGGGCCTAGACAGACGCCTACAATGCTGGGCGGGGCTTCCGGGGGCGGGGCTTCCGAGGGCGGGGCCCATCCACCGAGGTCTTCAGGGACTAGCCGTCAAGTTTCACGATGCACGGACACAGTCCGTGATGGTCTCTCCCCAGGTCACCTGCAGGAGGGGATGGTCTTCTCACCTGGGGAAATGCTGGCCGTGCCGCCTTGGGGTTGTTGAGAGTCGCTTTGAGGTGAAGAAACCAACACTCATGGGAACGTTTCACGTGGCCACCGAGTGAAGGGGCGATGCTTGTGACACCTCCAGCTGTGTGCCAGAGGCCAGGCTGAGCATGCGTTCGAGGTCAACAGCTACGAGGGCAGGTGTGAGTGTGCTCCACTGACAGACTGGCAAAATGAACGTGAAGGAGCTGGAAGCAGGCTGCACAGGCCAACGGCCTCCCAACGCAGATCTGTGCTCTTCAGAGAGGGTCGGTTGAGATTCCCGCTCCGAAGGACTTGTGAGGTCCAAGTCCAGCTAAACGACCTTCAGGCAAAGAACTCCTCTCCCAAGAAACCTGCACCGGCACCTTCCATCTCCCAGGAGGCTTTCCAGGCACCCTGAGTGCATCCATTCCTTTGGGTGGGTGAGTGGGAGGGGGCGAGGGACTGAGAGTGATTGTCTGGCCCTGACGTAGGACCTGCCAGGGCTTGGGTGGAAGGGAGAAGAGGCGGAGAAACAGAGGGACCACAGGCCAAGCTGTGAGGGAGGGCAGCAGAGAGGCCTTTGCCGGCTAAGGGACTGGCCCGGAGGCAGTGACCAAGGCATGGCCTAGTCTTACTTTGGGATGTGACACACTCAGTGTGCACTTCGGATGGAGGCAAGGTGGAGGATGAACTGGCAGGAAGCACGTGTGTAGGCAGAAGAAGGGCCTGGCAGCCACAGCAGGATGCACACGGAGCGCTTTATAGAGGCGGAGCTTGGGCCAAGGTTGCGTGAATGGCGCTTAGGGGAGAGAGTCAGGGCCGGCCCGCAGGGCGCATTGGCCGCAGCTGTGCCTGGGTTCCAGAGAGAGTCCACGCACAGGGCCTCCTCCAAGAACGGTGACTAGGGGACCAAGTAGACACACTGTGAATTCAGAGCTTAGCCGAGACCCAGCCTCAACTTAGGAAGATCAGCGGTCCTGTGGTCCAACTTCAAGGGCAGTGGGCAGAAACAGCATGGCTCTTCCATATCGGCGTGGGGGCTACCAAAGGCTACCAGTGAAGGGAAATACTTGACAGTACAAATGCCGGTCATCAAAGCAGGGCCCTTGCAGGAGTTTATAACAATAACACAAATAGGAAAATACACCGCGGCTGTCTCTCGCACTCGAATTCCTTTCTACCACTCAGCCCTCCACTGTGAGGAGTTTCCACAGAGCTCTCCCTCGGAGCTCCGGAGCTAGACTGTGCGCCGCAAACCTACCCCAGGGCGCTGGGAGCAAGACGGCCTCTTGCTTACTGCTCACTGCATTTCATGAAATACTATTTCATCCTATTTTTTGTTTTCAAGTGGCCAGGTTTGCTGCTGATCTGCCAGGAATGGAGAAGGGGAAAAAACAAAAACCAAAACTCGGGAAAGGGCGTGGTGAAAGAGGACAGGGGCAAAGGGGAAGAAGAGCAGACAAAAGCACGCTATGGTGCAAATACGCGGCAGGTCTAAAAACCAGGGCAATGCTGGCGAAGCGTTCCTCATCACAGGGTGGGCAGTGCTGGGTGGTACTGACTCAAGAAGATTCACGAGCAAGTGCCTCTCATGACACGACTCATGTCAGCAAGAGGACCAGAGGGTGGTTCTTACCATGTTTCAGATGTAGGCAGCTGTCATTCTTGGACCTGTACCTGCAGAAAATTGTGTCTTTAACAAATTTTTACTGAAGAGGGGTTTTGTACATTCCAAATATGTAGCAGCTACAACATCATGTGGGCTCTTCTGCTGTTACTTTGTTATGGCTCTTATACCAGCCATTTCTACTTGTGCAGTACAAAGGAGTGGTCTTATTTCCCAAGAAAGGAAAGAAGAGAGAGATAAATTGTATCTCCCTGATGGTCTTAATTAAGCTATGAGAGAGAGAAATCCTATCACCTGGTTTCACATCTATAAAATATATTTAAAAATCCACACCACAGAAAAGGCTCTCCCGGGGATACAAAGTGTTAGTGTATATCGTGGTTTAAAAAAAAGAAAGGCATTTTTAAGGAGTTATGCAGGTAGGAAGAAAGGAGACATGTGTAAGAGCAAGCAGACAACGGAAGAGGAAAACGGTCAAAGCGCAGTTAGCCAGCAGGCTTTCCGAGCACAGCGTGCGGGAAAGAAGTCTTTAGCTGTACCCGTGTGCAGTCCCAAAAGGACAGATCGTTTGACAACTGTTTTGGGGAGCCGGCCGAGCCGAATCGGCACAGACACACACACCACAGGCAAGAGAATAACAGTGCATACAAGACGCAGACCACACTGAAGGGCATTTGTCGGGAGCACAGAATCAACTGGAAGGTCACAAGGTGCCTACCTGATGTAGACTCCTGTAGTTTCTCTCTCTTCCTCTTCTTTTTCTTACCCTGGAAGAAGACAGGCACAGTGTCATGTAACAGACTGACGGCACAGGGGCCACCATGAGGAAGCGACAAGGGGGGTATAGCGGTGGTGTAGACACACGCACATGCACACACACACACACACACAGGAGGGATGGTGGTAGTGTAGACACACACACACACACACACACACACACACACACACACACCTCTCATCTAGAAGCAAAGTCAGATCCAATCCGTGGATCCTGCTCAGAAGGAGGGCAAGTGTGCAGAAACCAGAATCCTCTGAATGACCCCTTTCACTCAAACTCGACCCAGCACCGAGCCCACCGTCCCCGAGTTACTTGTGACGCACAATGACCAGATCAGTCCTAGCACTCCCCAGGGTTTCTGAGGCTGTCAATATATAGTTACAGGAGCAGACAGCCTTGTCTTTCTACCGTGGAGACCGTGGTAGGCTAGAACTTCTGACCTTTGGTTAGGTGCACTATGCACCATCCACTATTCATGAAGCCAGTGTTAAGCTAAGCAGCAGGTTCGCTCTGTCCTTAAAGAGCGTCTGCCCAGAGCACAAGGCCCTTACAGTGAATTTACCTATGCGTATAAACTAACAACAGTTCCTGAAGGAGCAGAGAGCTGGATGAACAGCGATGGAACCACCCTGTGGAGACACAACAGTGACCCCACGTGACGTCGGAAGCCAGTTACTGAACTCTTCACGCAGAGTTTGTGGATAGATGGGTGTCTGTCTGGTCACGTCTATTGCCGCCCCAAAGAAGTATTTTTAGAAATGACACGAGGGAAAAGAAAGCCCCTCAGAGCAAGAGAAAGAACGGAAACCCACCAGTCCATCTCCCTTTGTGACCTCGGCCTGCACAGTGTCCTGTTTCAGACCATCAGTCCTGGCCTCGCTAGGACCCTGCTGTCTAAAAGGCTGCAGCTACAGGCAGGGCTGCCTTTCAGGAAAGCCCACTCAATGTGGCATTCCTTTTACTGCCCACCATACTTAACATTTACTTTTGGGGGTGTTCAGATTAAATCTCCCTCACTGTGAGCTCCCGTGAACAATGAAAAGTTCCCTATATTTACTGGTAGCTC